CCCACCGTTGGTCGTTTCCTCGCACCACTACGGCTGCGCCGACCGCGTGTCGCTCGTGGTTCCCTTCTCCCTTCTCTTCTCTCTTCCCCCTTCTCCCTACAGGAGTGCGGCGTGGCTCTCGAGGACTTCGACGCCTTCAAGGAGGGAGACGTGGTGCAGTGTTACTCGCTCGAAGAGATTAAGCGCACCCTGTAACGCGTGCCGGGCCCGTGACATGACATGATATGACATGACATGACATGACGTCACTCGCGTTGTTCTTGGCCGGTCCCTCCGACAGACAGACCCTCTCCCGGACAAAACGGACGGGGCGGGGTCTATCTTTGATGAAAACTAGTCAGTTGTCTTTTTTGTTGCCTCATGACAAGCTCTGAAAAACTTGGGGGCCTTGCGGGGTGCGTATCGCCTGGCGTTCTTCGATGGCTGGGGCCGTCTTGATGTTCACGCTGGGGTCCCTTGTCAAGGGGTTAGTTGTGCTCAATGAATTGGTTTCTTCGTGGCACGCCTTGCAGGTTTTTTTTTCCGTGTGAGGTGCATGCTACATTCTGTATGTGCAATTTTTTACCTCTTGGTGGGATCAGGATTTGACGCAGCCGAGAGTACACCGGAAGCGTTATTTGTTCTGGGCGGATGGGCAGACCTCGTGAGTTCTCTTGTCGAGTACAGGTTGTTCAAAAAAGTTGCAGGATCTGAAGTTATGCTGGTTTCACCCTGTTGCTTGGGGTGCTTGGGTGCGTTGCGGGGAAAAACCAGGACCAAACGATGCCGGAAATTCCATGTTTGGTGCATTTTTCATGTCATGACCTCTTGTCAACGAAGCTAGATAATTGATGCTGCTGCCCACACTCTAAAGGACTTATATTTGCCGGGCGACACATGTTGTCACTGCTACCATTGGGCAGCAGGGGCCCCGGGATACATCGCGGAGTTACCCTTGAATTTTGCGGCGACCACGTCGGTCATCACTTCTTGGAACCCCGCCGGATCCCTGCCGATTTCTTCGAGGTTCCGCCAGCCTTTGCTGCAGCTCGCCGCCTGCCGCTTCCCTTAGAGCCTAGTGGCGGCAGCACTGCCTCCGTTCTCTTGTCCATTGCTCGATATCGTTTTATCGCTCTTTCCATCTCGGGGCAGCACCTGTGGGTGTCAGATTCCGCAGCGAGCTGCACGATGTCCAGCATGGACGTTACAGCCGCGGCCAGGTCGCACGCCGCCTCCCTCGTCGCATCTGCCCCGGCCGCTGCTGCGCGAGTCGCGCCTTTGCTCACCCTCCCGGGTCCCGCCATCTCGGCAACACGGTCCAAGAGCAATCGTGCCCGCAGCTTGATGGACTCGACCGCGCCCTCGAACCTCACCGGGGGCTGTTCGGCAAGAGTATCCAACAGGTACGATGTGCAGTACACGGCATGCTTGCGGAGTTCCCCCTCCTCCAGCAGCTCGATCACCTCTGGGGCGAAGTTTTCCCTCTCGACTAGCCTTCGCAGCACACCCAACAATCTGCGGGCATGGTCTAACCGCCCCGAAGGACCCCTGAGCATATGCCTGATCGCGCTTGCCACTGCCTCTTCAATGTCAGGGTCTGGTGGTGGGACGCTGTCCTCCGGCAGTTTCCATGCGTTGTTGCGGGTAACACACTCATCGTGCTGCTCTCCGTTCTGACTGGACCCCCCGATGTCAGGTTCAGGTGTTGCTGGGACACTTTTTTGTGCGTCTTCCTCCTCCGGTAACTCAACCGACCGTAGAGCACGGAGATGGTGGACCAGCCGGTACGCCTCCAAGTACTCCCGCCTGTCAATCCTGTCCAACACCAATCGACGTGTGCGTTTCACGTAGTTGATTCCAACGGAGATACCAGATTCGTTCGTCACCGCAGAGTGTCGAGCAGCGGCACGTTCGGCCGCTTTGGCCGTGGAGTACACGCAGTCGTAAAACATGGCGGCTGCAAGAGCCTCGCTGCAACCACCTTCCCCGTGATCGGACGTGAGGAGAACAAACCTGATCGATAGTGGCACGAGAACGAAATCTTTGGCAGCAGCAGTCGGGATGGTGAAGGGCATAAAGGCCTCCAGGACCATCTCTCCGGGGTGGAGGTGCGCCAGCTCGTCCTCCACTTCTGCGGGATCGTCCAAAATTTGCTTGAGGGAAAAGAACTGCCCTGCGTTAAGGGCTGCTGCTTCCTCCAACGGCGGTGCGGCGAGGTTATCTTCGGGAGCCGTCCGCGCGGTGAGGCCGACCACTAACAGCCCTGAGTTGTTCGTGTGCGCAGCCGAGGCGCAGTGGACGGCACAGCGGGTGAAGTATTCCATTGGGGTGGTGCCCGAGTCTAGATCCAAGCTGCACGCGCACGCCAGCATGACTGTCACATACGACGGGACGGCGTCGTGCCCCGCCTGCGACCCGTGATACCGTGCGAACCCGGAGATGCCGACATCAACGTCCGTCCAGCGGTCCCCTAGCCCATCGAGCACCCATCCCGCAATGGGCGGCAAGACGCCAAACAGGGACGATGCACCTTCTACGTCAACGTCTTCCAGCGCTGGCTTCGACCCGTAGATTCTGGCGCTTCCGTTCCGGGTGCCGTGAGCCACGAAGACCTGGCTGCCTTCTTCCCCGGCGTGTGCGACAAGCTTCGGCGCGCCTGATTGGATGGCGTCTTCTTCTGAATCGACAGTGCGCCGGAACACATGCAAGATGGAACTCAGGGCAAGGGAATCGGTCAGCGCCGGGAATGGGTTTGGCGCAAGTACCGACGTGAGCACCTCGCTAATGCTGTCGTGCAAGGACTTGTCTATCCTGTTATCCGCCGCGTACTTCATGAGGGTGATCTCGTGGGCGAAGACCTCCGGAACGGCATCCTCCCGCAGGGTTTCCACGACGGCCAGGCGTACCTTCACGGCCTTCGGAGCCCTGGTCGAGTCGGGTGTAGCCGGAGCTGGGACATAACGCACCCCGCTGGTCAAGGCGGCCTCAACGGCCGCAGGAGTTGGAGAAGCCGCCGTTCTATTCTTCCTTCGGCCTACAATCCGTTTGCCACCACTCTCTTTTGTTCCCTCGCTGTCGCGAACATGCGCGGCTGCTACGGCGTCGTCGAGCCAGCCTCGCTGCAACTGCAAGAGGCCCGCAGTTGTCGGCAAGGACAGGCCGGTTTCCCGCACGTGGCCTCCGTGGCTAGCAAGCTGGAACCCCAGCAAGTGCGACCACCCGCCTTGCGGCGCAACGTCGCCTTTCTTTCGCTTCTCTTCGAGATGCCGCGCGTGCACTCCATCGCACACCTTGGCGGCATCCCAGGATAGGGACAGGTCCAGGCAGTGCAGCCACGCACTCACCCCCGACAAACGCCGCCGCGCCAAGGCGGCCGCCTTCAAGAAGCCGCTCCTTCCGTCGGCGATGGTGCGGCCATGATCGTGCCACCGCAGCATCGGCAGCCTCAGTCCCATTCGGGCGGCATCGGAAATCTCCTCCATCCATCTCCTCGCCTTGTCCTTAACAACGACAACGTCCGAGTGGCGATCCTCGTCCAGATATCGCAGCAAGTCGCACCTCCATCCCCAGAACAATTGGTGGGTCGTTCGAAGCCAAGTCTGGACGAGATCTTTCGATGAACCGCACCGGGTTTTCGGGTGCCACTGGCCGTCACTTTCGTCGTCCTGAGAGTCGCCGTCGTCGAGGTAGATGACACCGCCACCGCCCTCCCACTTCAAGATCGGCTGTGAACCTCGCACCCACCCCACCAACATCCCCAGTATCAGTAGGATGTGATCGCACAGGGTTCGGCGGGAGCGGTGGCGGGCTGCGGCGCTTTTCGTTACCCGCGACACGTCAACCACCGCTTGTGCCCCCGCCGAGACTCCCTCGTCGTTAACTCCCGACAAGAGCGCAAGGGGCATGAGCGACGAGTGCACGCCCAAGGTGTCCCCGACTTCTCTCGCGCGCTCGACGTTTTCGGCCAGGTATTCCTTCGCCCCCGCGACGCCTTCGACTGCGAAAGACAGCCCTTGCATTCGAAAGAGTTCGCCGTAGTGCTTTGCTTCCGCTCCCGACAAGAAGAGGCCACCATACAGCGACCGGAAGGGGCGGTTGGTCACGGACAAGCTTGACTTGGAGCTGCTCCGGTGGTGCATGGTGTAGCTCCTCTGTATCGACATGATGGGACCACCGACAGCGCGGTGGGCGCTAGCGGGAGAGAGAAACAGGTAGCTCATTGTGACTGAGGGCCGAAAGGGAACGCTGGTCTTGATGTAAGAGATGAAGGCATCTGCGGTGTCGTGTAACTGCACGGGAGTCCATACAGTGCGCTCTCCTCCTTTCATTCCCTTGTACCTGGGTCATAAGAATTGGAGGGGAGCGGAAGTGGCAGACGTGGGAGTGTTTTGAGGGGGTACGGTGAGGGCCTTTCTGGCCAGGAATGGGTGCTAATAGATGCAGTCAGTACCTCGGTTTCAAAAATCCGGGAGCAACAGTAAAGTGAGCAGTAGCGGCCTACTGCTGTTCTTCGTCAGCACGTTTGCTGGATCTCTACGCACGCCTGTTGTCAGCGACAGCCATGGGCAGGCGGGGGTGCTCAAGGTGCTGCACGTGCCTCAGAGGAAAGTCAATCACGACCCGCTCAAGAATTAGCTGAGTGCTCCCCTGGCAGCCCTTCGCTTCCACCAGGATAGTCTCGGCGAAAAGTTGTACGGCAACTTGAAAGCTCAACGCCACGACTTCGACGCTCGCTGCCAACTGAACTTCGGCCCACGATTCCCTATTGGGGAAAAAAAATCACAGACAAACACAGATTTGTTGGGGGGATGAGTATGTACGGCAGCTTCGGTAGAAGTCTGTCCAACAAGTTGTGGGTCAGTATTTTCATTGCCACGGGCGAGATTACGCCGGTCGAAAACGCCTGTGTCACGACATATACGTACAAATCCCCGTGAAATGATTGCATTGGGTCAATAGCGAGCTCGTGACTCGGCCGTCAAACATGTTGCCCACTCCATGCGACAACAATAATCATGTTTTACTGCTTGTGTTTCAACATAATAGGAAGCTCGTCCTCGCATCCGTACGTACCTGAAGAGTCTTCCTGCGAGCGCGGCGGGACCGGTGAGTGCAACGCACACGTTCACGTGACAATCGTCACCGTGCCGGTCATCCAGCTCGTGTGCGTCAACGCGCAGACACTGCTCGTTTTCATTCACCACCGCCGCCATTACTTCGAGGTGCGCGACGTCTGCCATCCGAAGCATGTGAGGCATGCCCCAAATTCCGCGTGAGCCTTGCACGTACGTGACCCCAGATAGTTCGGGAGAGGTCGCCACGTTGTTCAGCATCCCAGCCGCCACCTTGGCATCGTCATGTATTGAACGGAATAAACCTGCAGGCGAACATGTGCACACCAGCAACACGACTAGGGATTTCAAAGCTTGGAAGACTTTCATCGTTCGCAGCAGTTCATTACTATGCATGCTACCGGAAGCACGCGCCTCTGACGTTTGTTTGTGGACTGCGGACGCCTACAATACCCAAAATGTCGGCCACGCGTAGACGGGACACCGCTGCTCTGTGTGGCAATGCCTGATCGGCGTGACCGCAGTCAACCTCACTCACTCACCTTGGGCGCTTTCTGCGATCCTAAACCTTCTTACGAGTTCGGGATACGGATTGGCCGGTAGCTCCTCGCGCTGGAAAAGGTCGTCGAAGAAGCCTTGTATCAAGCTTGATATGCCCTTCTCCTGAGCAAAGCAGCAGCATCACGCGATCATCGTTCGTTGTTGGCACGTTGTGGTGATGTGAGTACTGCTGTACGCACCGCATATTTTCCATGAACAGACAAGGACACCTGTGTGCTTTTGTCACCCTCATACAGCAGTGCAAGTCTGGAGTCTGGAGATAAAGATGATTCAAGCTACGGCTGTGTACGTGTACATGTCTGAATGCGGTACTGTCCTGTAGCTTACAGAATCGTAGGCAACAGACGGGCATATCTAGACATATCTTGGAGAAAAAAGGATCGCAGAAAAGGAACACACTCACCTCAAGGTATGCTTTATCGCGAACGGCAACGTCCTCCCGTACGAAAGAGCTTTCCTCCTCCTCATCCTCGTCACGTGCTGCAGTCGAAGCCATGCGGGAGTGGCTTTGACTTGACCAATGCATAGCAAGAAGCAACCAGCGGGACGGACCCAGGCTGAGACGCTGAGACGCAGGAATCACGGCGGGACTGTGGCTTAGGCTCCCAGGGTTGGCGCACGCTACAGTACGGGGCATACATTCTATACAAACCCCATGAAAAGGCAACTCTGAGAAACTCAGCAACTCAGCGCTCAGCAGCACCAGTCTCGCCACTCTCACGAGCCCGTGGCTCGCTCCCGTCCTGTCCAACCAGCCAGATCATCAGTACCATGACCTTAGCTGCTCCGCAGAACGCGTTGCTCACGCAAGCGGAACCCGATCATTCGGAGGTACCAGCATCAGTATCAGCAGCATCAGCAGCACCGAATGACCCGCTCCTTGACGCTCGTCGTGCTGCTGCTGCACACGAACACAGCACCGCCGTCTACAAGATCGTGCTGACTGGAGGACCGTGCGCAGGCAAGACGACGGCGGCCTCTATGTTGAGCGATATCTTTCGAGCTAAGGGGTGAGGCTCCGTGTGCCGCAGCGATTCGTTCGGGACATGAATGCGGCTGCAGGCTGTTGCAGTATTGTAGGTGACACAAGATACCACACACCCTGCTGAGCCGATTTCAAAGCTCGCCTGCTCCACGACAAAGGGGACGCTAGAATCAAACGATTCGTGTGCGGGAAGATCTCGGCGAGGTGGTTCAACAGCCGTCATTCTCGTCACCGTCATCGAGCTTTGAAAATGGTTCCGGGGTGTGTGGTTCCGTGTCTGGTGTCGTCTGTGGTGACTGCTTGCCGGAAGGCCATCTGTAGCTCAATGGTGTGTGCCATTGTACGGCTGTGCTAGAATATTTTCTGTGTAGTCCGGAACTCGACTGGATTGTGTAGATAGTCTGGTTCACTGCAGTTGCGGCAGCAGCATAAATTACAAGGGTCCATTTAGTATAGTACGTACTATTAGTACTTTCCAGTATTTTAGTAAGTATTTGGCTCACGGTACTGTACTGGGGGTTTAGTAAGTACCTCCATCCTGTACTGTACTTACTATTGCGTTTAGTACAGCTCTTCATACGTACTATACGTACTATTGCGTTTAGTACAGCTCTTCATACTGTACTATACGTACTATTGATAAATTAGACACAAACAGTTTAATTGCCACTATGGTCAAGCAAACATTTTGTATTTATTTATTTATTTATTTTTTTGTGCCTTTAGACTACTCCCCTGTCCAGCTGGTGGACAACTACAGGTAGGCATGCTTTGTTTCTGCAGTTGCATGCCAGTGCTCGTCTCTGCAGCTTCCGTTTGTCGTTCGTAATTGTATGTGGTTGTCTTCACATAATACAATCCGTTCTCCGACCTCTGCTGTCAGTACCGTCTAACATCCGAAAATGATCCGTTGGGCATGCTGACATTTTGTGGGTTGTTCGGCTGCGGCACGGTCTAGAGGTCTGGACATAGTGTGCGGTGTGATAAGCCTGAAGTCACTTTATTTAATAGGACACCAGCACGCTGCACTCTCATTAAGAACAATGTATCACACGGGAGGCATCACGCAACCGCAATTCAGCAGTCGTGTTGTCCCACGATCTGTTTGTGCGCACCTCACAGCGCTGCACTCTACAACTTTACCAGCATCGCAGTTATGCTCACCAGCAAACCGAATGGAATTCGCTCAACTAACGAGACTTCACACCGTGGTCGTATCGTACCGCAGGTTCCGTGTCTTCACGGTACCGGAAGCGGCCACGTCCATGTTCACCAACGGCGTGGGCTTCCAAGACCTAGGAGAAAAAGCAAAACGGTTCGCGTTCCAATGGAGCATACTGTCGTGAGTGTCAGCTACCGCGCCTGCTGCTGTGACCCTAAAGCGAGGGCTGAGAATAGTCATGACCAACAATAAGTGGTCTCGTCGGCTTGAAAATCTCGATGGTGAATACTCACCCCCCGCCCTTCGTAATGGTTGGATGATATGTGCGGTGTACTTCTGTACGTTTCGCACTCCGATCTGGATGTTCAAGTCACTCATGTCGCAGACAGAGCCTTGTCAGCGAAACGATGATATTCGCTCAAACTTGGCTTCGTGGTTGCTACGGTACCGAAACACCAGCCGTGCCCACAACCAAGTTCTCATGGAGGAGTCAACGTTTTGTGCCGTGCGATGAATGCCTTCGGCTGCGGGTGGACATGCATTTCGGGGTCATGTGCATGCAGGCTGCAGATGAATCTCGAGGATGGGTTCGAGCGGTTCGCCAGGGCGTGCGGACAGCCTTCGATCCTGCTGTGTGACCGAGGACTGATGGACGGATCGGTTTACATGCCGCCTGAGGAGTGGGATTCGCTGGTGAGCCGTTTTCCGCCGCGTACAAAACACGCTGTGCTGCTGCCTGTCAGTGCGCTGCTTCCAGGCCGTTACCTCGGTTCGCTCTTATCTCTTATCTCACAAATCGTGGCTTCCATCGTTGAAGATGGACCTTGTCAGACCACTATTCCGTCGGAAATCGAAAATCGAAAATCGAAAATGTCATTGATTAGACAGAGCTCCAGTGTTCCGCCGCCGGTTTTTCGATCTGGGGGCAAGTGTTCCGAATATTCTCCGATATGGAAAAAACAAAAGCGAGCACGAACAGACTCGAAATTGAAAATCGAAAATACCAACTGGAACATCAAGCTGGCTGCCACACCCTCACAGAATCGTACATGCCTCCATTTCGATACTCGTCTAGCCACCTACAGACTGCTTGGTGATGCGAGAGCTTGACAGAAAGCTGACATCCAGCAGAGCACGGTAGATTTTCTGTGAGCGAGATCTGCGCTAAGTTGAGATAGAGAGAGTCATCGCCGTGAAATTCTTTCTCGTAAACGCAGTTCAACGGCAGCTATTTTGGCTTTCCTGCATCAGCACGCAGCGTTCAATCACACATTGCTCGCTGAGGTCGAAGCGTATCGATGCGAGACAAAGACCCCCCCAACCTGCCTGATCATGGCCGTAGTTCGGAGCTATCGTTCGCTGTCGTGGATGCCGTGTGGCTCTCATGGCCATGGTTTGAATCATCGCAACTGGCATGTACGGGCCTTGTTCGCCTCTTTCAAATTGATTTTCGATTTGGATCCCCCGCCTGCGGTGTGTAGAGCCAACCTGAAATCGATAATCAAAATCTGAATTCGATTTCGATTTTCGATGCACCATTTTTTTGACAAGGTCGACAAACAAAAATCGAAGGAGCGGAAAGGAACATCAGCATGCCCCATGTACAAAACACTTGCACACAATTTCTTGAAGCTTTGGGTGGGGGCACGGACGTACGTGGTAACGTGATGACACAGGTGGAAGGAAACAGCATGGACGAGCGATCCCTCCGCGACGGTCGCTACGACGGCATCCTCCACCTGGTAACCGCGGCCTGCGGGGCGGAAGAGCACTACTCCCTGGAGAACAACGAAGCTAGAAGCGAGTCCGTGGAGATGGCAAGGGATGTGAGCAACTACGCGTCGGGCGCGCCCTTGTTGTGAGCATTCACTTTACACTCTTCGGTTGTCTAATGCTTGCTTGGTATGAGGGACATGACGATGCATACAATAGACGGGGTCAAGATGCAGATGTGCTACCTGTACCCGATTTTGTCGTTGTGGGTCTTTGAGGTATAGCTGAACTGTACCTCTTCTCGACGGAGTCGAAGGAGGGCGGACTCACCAATGAGGACAGGTCGGCGCGGCATTTCCTCTTTATTTTACATGAGTGTGCCTAAATACCACCCTTTCGCGTTTCCCATCAGATAATTCCTTTGGCTTGATGTGTCTTGGCTTGGCGTGTTGGCGTTAAGGTCGACGGCAGGACCGAGGGCGTTTGGCTGGGACACCCCCGGCATCTGGTGTTCGACAACTCCACCGACTTCGAGGCGAAGATGTCGAGAATCACGTCCGCCGCCTCGAGGCTTGTCGGCCTCCCTTGTCGTCCCAGAAAGCTCTGCAAGTTCCTCCTGTTCGAACCACCACCGCCGTTGGAGGAGTTTCCGGTGCCCGTGAAAGAGTTTCACGCCGAGAAGGTATGCATACATAAGCGACGAGATTGATTCATGAAAAGATTCGTGAACGAAACCGTATCGCGTTTCTTGTCTGGCCCTCGGTTTCTTTAAGTCTATGGTGAAGGCACACTCCGCACGATAGGTTGTAGTACCTTCCTCCTACTGTCGGAGCGCGTCTGTAAGCGGTATTGACGACCCCGCTCGCTTCTCTGTCTGTTGTTGTGCATATGAATCTTCGGGCTGCAATAGGACGGGGCCAGAGAGCCAGATGACGATCCAGGCGTTCACTGCATGGAAACTGCCCGTTGCAGGAAAACGTGCGGTGTAGAAATAGAAACGCACTGCCCAAGAACAGGGATAGGGATGATCCCTCGCAAGGGCCGGCGGCGCTAATCTGGCTTGCGTATTTCTCGCCACGCGTATTTTTTCTGGTGTGCGTGTGTACGCAGCGGAAGCTGCTGCCACGTGGATCGATCGAATATATGTTGTTGCTTCCGGTCTCTCTTCTCTGCTGCGCGCGTCTGTCGAAGCAAGGTCTTTCTCGTCGGGCGAGATACGGCTGAAGCCGGAGAGAGCGGCTTCATGACCGTCCCAGCCGACACCTCGGGAGGGGACGCAAGCGGGGAAGGGGACGCAAGCGGGGAAGGGGACGCTCATGTTGATGTCCCCGCTGCCGTGTGCGTCTCGAGCGAGTCTTTCCTCGAGAAGAGGGGCAAGACCAGTAAGTGCCTTCTGTTCTGGTACCTTCGTTCCCTTAACTAGCCTCTTGCTGCAGCACAGCACCGCCTGTTGCACCCAATTGGTTTGTCCGGCCAGCTCCATCTTGCTCGTGCCCGCGTTGACAGAGCTGGGGACGGCTGCAGAGCATCATCCCTCGCGTGGTGGACAGCGGTTGGTGTGTTTGTGAAATGGAGAAATGCTCAAGTATCTGGTTTGCGTTGGATCCTGACGACCAGTGCAACCCTTTTCCTGCGTTGACGGCATCACCCGCCGTCAAGTTGACACACACGCCAGACCAATCGAAGACTCGCACCCGTGTATATGAAGCGGTAGCGTTTCCGCTTTCTACGGCCGCCTGCTGCTCTCACCGCCCCCAACTGATTGTTCTCGTGTGCCAGATGCCAGGCATCTAATACGCAACGACGTTGGCCCTTGCTTGCCTTCGATGTTTCCTATTTCTTTAGTGTGCAGGGACATAGCAGTCCTACTCCGCTTGTCCCTAAAGCAAAGTCCCACACACAAGGCTGGTATCTAGTACGCACAGCAGTCTTGGACGTCCTGTTTTCTTACGACCACCTATCTCGGCATGCCCTCCAACGGGTGCGCGGCAGAATCAGAGGTGTTCGTGTACTCGATCACGACGATCTCCACCTTCTCCGATGGAACGGTTACGGAGGTGACCAGGCAGCTGTCAGCTGCGCGGCACGCGTCGATCGAGAAGGAGAGGGCAGATCCGGCGAGACCTAAAGTGATACAGCGCAGGGTATGTTTCTTGTGGGAGAGACAGGTCTTCGAGCTGCACACGGACATGGAGCCGGCGTTCGGGATCAACGTGCTCCATCGACGGTCTGAAGTGAGTGGGAAAACGGCGATGTTTCGGGACTCGGTCAAGCCTGCTGATTATCTGCCTGTTTTGGCCGATGTTCCCGGTTCGCAGCGTAGCGCTACGGTCACTCTCTTCTTCTTTGCCGGAGTTTTACACGAGCTTTGGGCTGTTACCTATGTAGCACAGTGGACTCAAACGTTTCGACAAGTTCTTCTGCCCGCAGTCCCACTGATTCCGTCATCCGATGCTCTTATATACTTAAATCTTTTCTCCAGGGCGGCGAGCTGTCTTTGCCGACATTTCTCAAGGTGGACGATTGAAATCTACATTTTGACCAAGATATCCTATCCTCCGGACCGAACGGGGTTTTGCCCCTCGCTCCATTCACGCCGGGCGTCCATGGCCAAGGCGAAGGCTTTGGCAAATGGTAGAAGTATTTTTGTGTCATTTGAGGGTTTACAGTTGGCAAGCCTATCTCGCGACGGCGTGTGGATCGTACTGGCTTGTCTTTTTTTTTTTTTTTGGTCTTCACTTCAAATCAGCGCTCACGGCACTAGTGCTGTTTAGTCCAACCCGTGGTCATGCAGAAGAGCCCCGCTCTACCCCCCCCTCCTGCGGTACTTTGCCTTCGATTTTTAATGCGATAAGAGTTCAGCACTCTCTTTCTTCCCTCTGTGTACACACGAACTAGCGCTAGCCACTAGGCCAGGAGCGGAAGCGAGAGAAAAACTCACTTAGCAAGAAAAGCTCGCTTACGCCGGGATTCGAACCCCTGACCTGACCTCTAAAGGTTTCAAGGTTACCAACTAGACCACCGGGGCGACCGGCTTGTCTGGTTGGTGGATGCCAAAGCAAGCGCGGAGCCGCAAGGGATGCACCATGTTCGGGTCGGAGGACGGAGGAGAGGTTTCATTGGTTGTTGGCGTATTCCGCGAGGGAAACGCGGACATATGGGGCGAGAATAGGGGGAACAGCCAATCGTAATCAGCCTTTCGTAGGGCTACTGCAGTGAGGGTTGGTGCATCGAAGAGCTGAAAGGACAGAGCACGAGGACGTCCTATGTTTTTGATGAAGTGCCCGAAGTACCCCTTCGCGTCGACGGACGACATGCACCAAACATCCTGGCAAGTTGTCATTGCCGCAGCTGCGCGAAGCACCACCAATAAGAATCAGTGTGTTCTATCTCCTCCTCTTTCGCATCGTACTTGTCAAGACTCTTGACTCTTGACTCTGACTCTTGACCGACCGCACCGCGCCGACTAGAGTGCCACAAAGCTCGTCATCGCATCACCTGCGGCATGGTATGCATACAGCCCCAACCGGAGCACACATGGGCCCTAAGTAGTTTAAAGGCGTATTTCAGTTTCTGATTACTTCGGTGTCCAAGCGAAGATCAAGTAATTAATCGGGGGGTCACACAGATAAACAACCTCATTCGCTCATGGTAGACACTTGGGCGAGGACCACATCAAGGACAAGGACAAGCGCAATCTGGCTGGGAGTCAGATATGATCAATCCGCCCCGTGCCATCCGCCGAACCCTCTCCCGGCCTACAAAGGATTGCGTTGTCAAAACCATCAAAAACCATGGTTTCGCACGGTTTTTGGGGGCTTCTTTTCTCCCAGCGTCCTCTACATCCAAACACCCTCACCCCGGTGCCCCTCCTTCCCTCTACAATGCCTCGTCCTCTAGGAAGCTATAATCGAATCGGAAGTCGGATTTGATGCGCTGGCACCATCCTGTCTCGTAGTCGAAGTAGACGTACGTGCCCTGCTCATAGTCGTCGGTGGTGACCTTGGGCTCCTCGTGGCGCTGCAACGAGAGAGACAGAGAGTCCAGTCCGGCAGCGAGAACATATACAGGTCACGTCGGGCGGCCGCGGGGAAAAACACCGCTTGGGTACAAGACATCAGCGATCGAGAAAAAAAAACACCAACACATACATATACTGTACTATTGCATCGGGCCTTGGTGACGGGAATGATCAATAGTTTTAGCGCGAATGATGCATAATGCTGGATACTTCTCTAATCCGCCTTGTCGACGTGTTTAGGAAAAACAGTCAAAAGCAAACTTCAAACTGAGCCAAAGCTTGACACCACCTACAACCCAGTGCAAGCAGTACCCGAGTTCACCAACAGCGCCAAAAAAAACAACACCGCCAAGCCTCAACTCACCTGGAACCACGTCATATACTTCTTGTGGTAACGCCACGACTGCCGCTTCAACTCCCGCGCGGCGAGGTATTGTTGGTAGCTCCCTTGCTGATAGTAGAAGATGAGGAACAGGGTGTCCGTGTTGAGCTTCTCGAACATATGCGGCTTCTCGAAGGCTTCGGCGGGTTGGCTCGGGAAGGCTGTCGAAGTGCGGTAGGGGTTCCGAGGGACGTAACTGCGAGAAGTACGAGGGGGGGGGGGGGGGGGG